CATAGAGATGGAGACTGCACTCGGGTACCACTATCCTATACCACTACCCCGTTCCCGTGCATTTTTGCGCGGAGAAGTGGTATGCTACTGTAGTGGCGGACTCATTTGCCTCGCAGATGGGAGGGACCATCCTCGGAGGTGAGTGTACAGTTGTGTGGCAAGCGGTGGAACATGACTGTTACGTCTTGACCCAACTGTTGGAACTACTGTAAATGTAAGCTGTTGAAAGGATTTGGCACCATCAAGCGAAGGGGCTGCTCTAGTATAATTTTTCAGACTGTAAATGCAATCGAGGAGGCCTATTCGGTCTCAAAAGGAGTCGCTGATGATCTCGAGAATGCGCATTGCGTTTTCCGCGATTACGGCAAAGACTTCATGAAGAAAATTGGTGTGTCACCGGATGCATTCCTTCAAATGGCTATACAGATGGCGTACTACAAGGTGAGATAGCGGCAGTGCTTCACTAAAATAGAACTGCGTAAGAAATTTAAGAGTTGGGAAGTGCGCAAGTTCCGCTGCATAGAGCTTTTTCCAGGACCAGGGAAAATTCGAGCTCACCTACGAACCAACAGTGATGCGGTTGTTCCGCGAAGGACGGACGGAAACAGTTCGTAGTTGCAGCGAGCACTCGTGCGATTTCGTCAAGTCCATGCTTGACAAGAGCCATGAAGTGAGTTTTTGGGTCAGGCGGGAGCCCTTCCGATATATCGTATTCTCTCGGATTTCAGGATCAGACACGGTACTCTCTACTGCGGAAGGCATGTGATTCCCATCAGTCCTATTACCGTAACGCAATGGCTGGTTACGGTGTTGATCGACATCTGTTTGCAATGTATGTAGTGTCGAAATACTACGGCATCCAATCTGCGTTCCTGGACAACGTCTTCAGCATGAATTATGCGCTCTCTACCAGCCAGGTGATTGGCTAATATCGTTGCTTATGAATACTGCAGTGAGCAAAGCGACTTCTCTGATTCATCCGAGATTATGAAGCTATGAAAATTAGTGGCAGCTTGAAAGTGCCTGCTGTGCTACTCATTACTCCTAGAACGACCTCTTCATCCGAAAGTCCTGATTCAATCAATCAGTCTCCTAAGAAACAGCTGGTTTGTTGAGGGGAGCTTAGTACCTATAACAAAGTAAAAGCGATGAAATTACTTGTTCTCATTTTTCATTCCCTTCTACGATGGTGCGCATCACCCAGTACGCCAAATAGGCCAATCCCTTTGCCAGGGGTCCGTTGTATATGCAGCCGCGCGACGGTTGGAGAACGTTCTTTTCGCGTGGAGCCCCTCGATGTTGCCCTATCAACTCCTAAGTTTCTTAAAATGATCAATTTTGCATCGTGCCCCTGTCTTGAATTGGTCTTTATCTTCAGGCATCTCTCGAATGAAACCACCAGCGAACTCCATGAGAGCTTCTTTCTTGCCAATCGTTCCATCTCCTTTTTTCGTTCTTCTTCCAGCTCGCTCTTTATCATTGAGAAAGTTCTTATTTGGGGCGTTTTCCACAGTTTCTTCAGTATTATCCCACAGTTTCTCAGTATTATCCAACTTACCACGTGATTCAATGATACTTAGCCCTTCCCACGCCACACAAACAAAATACAGGGGACAGGGGGGCCAAAAAAAAGTCACTTTGCTTCATTGACTTTCGAGGCGCTATAAGTTACACTTTATAAATTCTGATCGGACATTTCTACCACCATATTAAAGAGCATATTAAATACTATTATGACACTCCGCCACAGCCTTCTGGAGGAGCGCCATCGAGAGATTCTGGCACGCAATCGCGATGTGGTCCCTGAGATCAGCGAGATAGTCGATTTCTCCGCCACCGTAGACCACCCTATTGAACTCCGCCCGAACCGGGTAATTGAGGGATTCAGGTCAGGTGACCTACTTAGATATTCCATCTTCTTTAGGTACTCAGCCCCCTTCCATTCCAAGTAGGCGAGAGTTTCTCCAACGCCCTTCAATTCCACGTGGTGGCACCCAATGCTGTAGCAGTACAAAGTTTTCAAGAGGTAGCGGGCGGCGACATGTGGGAAGATATTCTTCTTGAGTTGGTCGATGTAACCGCCAGCGCTCAGCTTCAGCCCGGGGTCCACGAAGAAAATATTGGTCTTTCCATTCCAGGTGCGTCCGGTCCATACCATCAATTGGCGCCTTGGCGACTGGGTGAAGATGATGTCCTAGACCGTAGCGACGTTGTCGGAGCTGCTCGATGTTGGAGGTCTTCCAGGTTGAGAGTACTGGTCTCCGGGTAGCTATCCATGGGTGACTCCATACCAGAAGTTTCGCAGCTGTTTGGAGGCGACGTGAATTCCAAAGGTGTTCTCCAGTCAGGCCGCGACTGGAGATGACTTCATATTTTGGCGTACATGAAGGCGATTGGCAGGCAGCAGCGTGCTCCAGCTTATAGAGGAAGATCTTGGGTATCTTCCACTCTGGTACTCATATCCACTTCCCCTGTCTGGGCTGCGAAAACTTCGTTGATATGTGGCTCGGCCGAAATGACTTTTTTTTTGGCCCCCCTGTATACAGTTTCTCCAAAGCGCCACCTTTTCATCGCCGTACCAAGGCTGGGGCTGGGACGAGGAGTGATTCCCTTCGCCGCCAGGCTCAGCTTTAGCTGAGCGCGATGATCTGCGTGCCCTACACTAGCGCTGACATATTCGTAATAAGGATGCCAAATAACCTCACTATGCGGATATATACTTTTTCGTGGAAAGAGCGGTGGCTTCGAATTGGAGTCTGTCGGTGCCATGCGAGAGAAATGACTACCATATCTGCGATCAGAATCTTCATTATTCCCTTAGAAGTTGCCAATACAAACCTGTTGAAAGAACGTGGTCCATAGCCGCGAATACATTAGCACTGATGATGGGTGCCATATCGTTAGCAGCGCCCAGATTGACCTATACAGGCAGATTTCAGCCGAAACCTTTTGAGTTCTTTCCCAACTTTTCCCTGCTGCTGGCCTCGGTAGACCTCATTGATAACTTTTTCACGTTCCCCTTTTCAGACTCCACAACATCAAATGAGCGAATACATGAAATCGCTGAACAAAGAACGCGATTTGTTTTGGCCGGCAGGAGCATCAGCCTGTCGCACGAGGGATTGGCGAACTATGGTATGACCGTAGTTGAAGGTTTACCTCAGAGTCTTGGGAGAAAATTCAAATTGTTACAGGAGTCTGCTACACCGTCGGCGCAACAGGTGACATTAAGAGTTCTTCACATGGACCTCCTGGAGAAACTCGCTACCTCATACGGTTTGTTTTGACAAAAGAGCTATTCTGATATAGAGCAATTTAAATGTGGTTTCATACATATCGGATACGATTTATTATTTTCTTTTGGCGTCAACATTACCGCAGGGTACAGCATCCTTAACATATGGGGGGGGTCTACTTTTGTTTGGGGAGGGGGGTTCTTATTTGTAAGACAAATTCATTATGATATGTTGATTTTTTTTACGTGAAAAGGGGGTCGTATAATTTCTTGTTCCTAATCACTATATGCTATATGCATTCTGTACGCCCGTGGGATATACGTTGCATAGTTATTGTATACCCCCGCTCGACAACTTTTTCGCCGACTATATACTCATCGCTCGTCCGTCGGCGAAGAAGCCGTGGAGGCGGAGGAGGGGGGGGGGGGGTCGTACTCACACCGACATTTCGCACATCCCCATGCTTAGTTATGAGTGTATGTACTTGAGGAAGAGCAAAATACGATGGAAGGGAGAACGCAACATGTTATTACAAAGACATGGGCAAATCGGGCCGGTATGGGCTACATGTGCATGGGCTTCACCTTTTCTGCTCAGTTTCTGGCACCGAAAAGGGCTCTTCCTTTGCGGTTCTGGGCTCAGCTTACCTACTAGCATAACTTTACACCCAGAACCGGGCACTTTACCAATCACGTGTTCCTTTAACTCCGCCAAAAATTCCAACTAAGTTTCGTAGACTAGCTGGAGTATGAGATCCTTCGTTGATTTGCCAGATATTCCTACATTTTCAGAACGCACGACGATTCCGCGATACACTTTGTGAATGCTTACGAGAGATGAAAGCGATGGTTGATCGCGTCGTCAGCTGATCGTATCAGAGTTCTTCCTTTCACCACTTACTGTATCTACTGACTCATCGACTGTTCACTGCAATACAATTCGGTTATTCCTAGCAAAACTAATTCCAGCTCTTATTCAGTCATCTAAGGGAGCGTCGATATAGCTTTCCAAACTAGCCGGACAGGGTAGAGCATCTTTGTATGAAACACATAGGGGGTCGTACTTTCTTTCCGCTGAGGGTCTATTTGGTCGTTGCTGGGGAAGGGGGGAGGGTCGTAGAACAAAATTTTTCGCGGTGAGCTTTTCGTGATTTTTACTGTTTCGTGTGTACCATATACCCCCTTCCCTCTCGACGGTTTTTGGGTGGAAATTGGTAGGTAGGTGTTGAAGAAGGGCAGAGGGGGGTCGTACCGAGACCCTCATTTGGGTGGAGATGGGGAGGGTCGTACCTACACCACATTCACACATCACGATGCTGTACCCTGTAGTCGGATTACCATTTTTACTGAGCTAAAGGATCGGCACTAACTAGCACGCAAGGCTGTTATTCGTGTAGCCGTTTTTATTGAGAGCCTGCAGGCACAGTTCACGCTCAATGTGTGGGCAAAAACTGAGAACCAATTGTGCCATCCATAGTGATTCATTCTTCCCTCCTTGTAAGACGGTAGCGAGGGGCGCGTAAGTAGAGGCACCGATGGCTGAGTCACCACACCGTGAGCGCGGTCGATGTGACTCAGAAGCGCGGTCTGTGGTTTAATTATTTCATGCTTATAACACCAGAGGATGCATTTTGATGGGCTTCTTGTGCAAAACTAGAATTACCTTAATGAAGATAGAACATTTGCCTGAGCCTGAAGGGAGGGAGGAGCTCCAGGTGGGTGAGCCGATCCCAACTACGGTGATTGTATTCGGACAATGTTAATCCCAGTTCCATGCAGCGAGGCCTTAATATGCTCTCCTCTGAGGTTAGTAATCCACTTCTTCCATGTCGCCACGAATCGTCCACTTTGTAAGTTCATTGTCCACGGAAAACTGCCGGTCCCGGTCCAAATTGCCCCACTTGTAAATATACCTCTTTCCTAGCGAGGAGTACTGTTGTGATAACTACCTATACCTATAGTGATAACGTTGTAAATATTCGAGAATATTTGTGATTCAAGCTGCAATGTACATATGATAATGATCTACCTCTCGCGAAACTAACTCAGAGATTGATGAGATGTGGTTATATAAAGGTGTTGTATTCAATATTGAGGGTCAGCCTTTCAAAGTGACTGCTAAGACATTATTGCCGCTAGAAGTTCGTGAAATATTCTCTGTTCGCTAATTTAAAGAAGACGACATCGAAAGTTATTTGAGTAAATAAATTCTTAATATGGACGACTTTATTGGCACCGATGGAGTTATGTGAATATTTCGCGATCCCTTTCACTTTTATCTTTCCTAAACAATGGGCAAGTTGACAAGTTTTTCTACTTGTCTATTCAAAACCGTAGCGATTTTCGAGTGTGATCCGATCTGTAGAATGACCTGCGGTGTCAAAATGTTTTGGTTCAGAACGGACGCATGATATACAGGGGGCCAAAAAAGACACTTTGCCCGAAGCACGTATCAGTAAGGCCGCGTTCATACAGTCCTCATCATTGCGGACCGGTGGGGCGTGTCAGTGCGGCTGCGTTTGGCGCGGTGCCAAAGTCGTTCTGCACCAGTTGTTGAAGCGGGCAAGTGACATTACTGTATTATATCCTTCGTATTACTCGTTTTCTACCACTTTTTGCCG